CTGATGTGTTTTTTTATCATGAAAAAAAAATTTATGAAATTGAAAATCATATATTTTTATGTGATACTTAACACATAAACACGTAAGTTGTTGCTATGTAAATGTAAAAAAAATTGATCTAATTCTATACAATTTTTCATTTTTTATTTCAATCTGACATATCCTTGATGCCAGGATATCTCTTGAAAGATCTAACTAAAATTAAGTACTAAGTGTTGACATATTGTATGAGTTTGATGAAAGACGTAGGAGACTACTAATTTTACAAATGAATCTGTTGAATGCAATCTTGACTGATAATTTTAAAGTTGAAACAATAGTTATGTATGAGTTGTTCTATAGTTTCTTTTAAAGTCACTGTTCATAAGAATATTTGGTTATTTGATTACATATACTTCTCATTATTATTTCTGTCAACACAAAATCAAGATAAAAGTGAACGAAATTGACTCATTCTTCGACAGCTAGTTTAGTGTGGAAAGAAACTTAAGTTTTTGAAACTTTGAAACAATCTACATATACGTATATATATATATATATATATACGGCTGATGAGCAGGACCAGAATGCACTAGAAGAGATAGAACTCATACTCAGATAACAAGGACGCTATACGAGATATTGAGAATAATTGTCATCATTCATCGAAGACTCAAGGAAGCAGTATACAAGTAATGGGTCTCATCGCAAACAGAAAGAAGATAAATGAGAGTGCAATACAAATGATAGTTTTAGGAAGCATTTGAAATAGTTGATTCATGATCTTTAGAGTTGCACTTGTTCTCAGAGTATCACAAGAGACTAGTGGCCTAGGCGACAGATGATTAGAAATGGATGAGCCTCGTCGCAGAAGTTTCCTTAATTTATTGTTTTTAATAATTTGCTTCGAAAAATATCTACCAAATATATGTAAAGACATAGACTACTAGTAGTCTATATCTATTGACGTTATCAACAATTAGTCGATGTTTTCATCAACTGATGTCTTCATTGCTTGCATACTTTTTTTAGTATGTGTAAATATGTATCAATCCATCTTGATTTACATCTGGAGGCTATTGAGTCTGGTACATAGGCCATCAGCTGATGAACTTATTGCTGACTCTTCTTTATAAAATTTACAATAAAATTTGTCTAGTTTCTATGAATAATTGTTGTACAGTATATTCTTTGCCGTTTATCATTATTTCATACTTGTATCTTAATTTTTTCTCCAGTTATTCTTTCTAATAATCGAGAAAACCAAATGAGGAGTATAATAAATTACCATTCATCCACATTATAGATGAATCAAATTATTTGAAACGAATTTTTCTTTGCCTTTTTATATTACTATAGATTCATGTGTTTATCGAACGATATCGAATAATAATTCGCATGCGATTGTCATTCAACGAGCTGTTCAAAATTGAAACGAAGAACTTGCATTTCATTTTATTATTTCATTCATATAATATTGTTCTAAGAATCCACTTTGACGAATACAAGTCTTTAGCAATATAAGTGGTATCAGAGTTCCTAAATTCGATTGTTATTGTCGGCGTTTCATATAATATCAAAATCATAATTCAAAGTAGTTGTTATTGCATTCTGGAAAAAATACTTACACTTAATTTTTTTCATACCTCATCACTATAAATTAATATGCTTAAAAAAATAATTATGTATCCTGATAGCACGCGAAATTCTCTGCAACTCTATATATGTACGTTTTAAATTGCAATTGTTCGCTAAAATAGAAATTTAACTACAGTGAAGGCACCTACATCGTCAGATTTTCGGTAATTGTATCTTTTGCTCTTTTTTCAAATTTGTTTTAATGTAGGCACAAGGTATTGCAAACACAAGTGTGTATTCTGAAAGCGTTTGAAATTTACTATCGTTCTGTAGTTTTTCTTAATTGATGACTAGGATTTCGAATATTGTTAATGTACGAACGTATCACATTCCTCAGCGAGAGTAAGAGCCCATCAATAATATTCTAAATATTTGCCATCAAGTAATTAGCTTGTTTCTACATTAAAATAAATTTGAAAAAATGAATGATCAAGGAACGAAAAATGCATTTTCCGAAAAATCTAATGAGTAGGATGCTTTGATTATGTCTGAATTTCTATTTTAGCATACAAGTGCAATTCACAACTTATATACATAGAGAGAGATAAAGTTGTAGAGAACTCTGCGCGCTACCAGAATACATAATTACTTTTTAAAGAATATTAATGTTAATCATTTTCCCAGGTGCATATATTATTCTCGCAAGTATCTTATTGTATCTCTGAAGCATATATATTCAATCTCTTTTAATAGATCAATTCATATCCATTAATGAATTTTTAGTTGAATAAATCTACAACAAAAGATAGAAAGTCTAGAATTATAATCGAGAGATAAATCATTATAGAAGTTCTAATAGAATTCGATATTGATTTCAATTAAGGAGAGATAAATTTAACAGAGATGTTCATTACGACACTATCGTTACTATCACCGTAAAGGTGACGGCAGCTTCTGTTTGAAGGACATCGTAAAATCGCATGAATTCGCACGGAATTCTAACATTCACAAATGTAACACTCTAAAACTCAATGAATTTCATGAATTAATAATAACAGTTCTGGTTGATTACAGTCAACGTAATGAAATTTCACACATTTGTTTAAATGTAGTCGCTGCAGCAGTAGCAAGGTTTGAGACGCGATCCATATCATTCATCTTTTATCATAACTGATGCTAGAGTATAATTTAAAAATCTTCTAATTAGCATTTCTATTAAATTTCAGGTAAAAAAAACGAATCGCATATTTTACAGTCAAAATTATGCAATAATATGAAGTTGATAAAAATTCACGTTTGAGATATATTTTATGTTGATGTCAATTTACAACATTGATTTTTCTGTCATGTAGAAACACTTCTGTAAAATTGAAAAAAAAATTTGTTAACAATAAAAAGTCTATTTTGTAGCAAATTTTAATAATCGAGACAAATCAATGTGTATAAATAAAGCATGCCAATACATGGCTTATCATATTTTGTTGGAAACTTTAGAAAAAAGTTATTCTTTGACTTCAATATTTACTTAAGCTTATGTCTTTCTTCATATAAAGAGCATCAATAAGCAATTACGTGGAATAATGAAGCTTGAAATGCATTCAAATAACAGAATGTCAATATCATAATTTTAAAAAAAACATACTTTTTAGGTTTCTTCAATTTGTCTTTGACATTTTTTAGTGACTTAAAATTTCTATCGATTGTTTTTCTTACTAATGAACAACAACACCAAGAAAAACATCTCATCAACTTGGACAAATTCAATTAATTTTCATGTCTTTTGATTTGACAATGACCGACAGTAGACAAAACAAAACAAAAGATTTAAATAAATCTCTAATATTAAAATTCATAATAATCTATTTAAAAGTGTTATGTGATAAGAAGATTATTTTTCATATTTAAATCTGAAAAGAACAAGAATATCTGTCAACAAAATCTCTTGTCATTTCTATATATATAGTCAAATAATACATGACTTTTCTAATTTCAAAAACAAAATAGTTTGAATTAATTACCGAATAGTTTCATTATTCATTGAAATTTGATCGAAAAATTAATTTATTTATAAAGTTAGTTCATAAAAATATGATTTTTCATTTCATACAAGATTGTAAAAATTAATTGATCTGTAACATATTTATGTCAATGTTTAATATGATTTCTTATGCATATTTCATAAATTTTGTTTGTACATACTATCATATAATTAATACTGCTGGACCGATCAAAAGAGACAAAAGTTCAGTGACCGAATAATCACTTTAGTCAATAACATTGAACGATCATTTTCTTCTTTTGTTTTATTTTAGTCTACTATATGATAAAACAACGACAACCATGGCCAATAATCATTCAAATAATGCCTGGCGTCTTCTTTGGACTCTTATACATGAATGGTTTTCTGCTGCATTTATTCATTTTTGTATTATGCATACAATATTAATTTTCCGAACTCATAATAATAATAATAATAATCATAATAATCATAACGAGAGAAATAATCAACAAGGTAAGTTTAAAATCTAGTTTATAAAAATAGAATTTTTTTTATAAAAAGCAAAACATGCCCTAAAGCATCGTTTCAATAGAATCAACAGACAGACATATATATATATATGGGATATAATACAAATCGTATAGGTAAACGTTCGTTCTGTGTATTTTACAAATTGGATGAATGACGTTTTTTTTCGAAGCTAAGCACTTGATGTTCATTCTCACAACTCGTCCAGATTGATTTCATGATATATACTATTCTTTGTTTATTTAACTATGAGACGTCAATGACAATATAATCGATATTTTATGTTAAGGAAAAAGAAAACCGTCGAGACCTTGTATGAAAATTGAAAACGATAATCTGTTCATTGTGTACTTTACAAACAAAATGAAGAAGAAAAGTCTCTAACGATTTTTGTTTATTATCTTCAGGCAACACTGATGCGAAAAGCTCTCTTGTTCAACGGACTTTTTTTTGCACATTTCATGTCTATATCAATCTGTACATATACTACTTGTGTCGTTGTGAAAGAGAAAAGAAGTGAAAGCGAATTTATCGATAAAGCCTGCGGTGAAGAACTGCTTGTGTTTGTATGTGTGTGTGTGTGTATGCTCGGTCGAACGTTGCTGCGATTACAAAAAAAAGAAGGAGGAGAACAGAGACGAATCGATAAGAAAAAGGAGAAGAAATGAAGTAACGTTATTTCTTGTCTTCTGTATTCCATTGTTCATCATCAACTCCGACCAACCACTAGCTGTTTGTTCATTCATTTTTCACTTTTCCTTTTCTCACATTCATTTACAAAACGATTACGAACATAAACGAATAAGAGAATCAAAAGTTGGTATTTTATTTTTAACACATTCTACAATATCATCACAGTTGATTCTGCTGTTGATTGATGTTCAAATTTCTACAGTTCACATTACCATCTGGCCACATGTTGCCTTATAATGGTGGTAGTGCTACCGTTCTTGGTGAAGAGATGATACCTATAGAACAACAACAACAGCAACGTGAACGTAGTCTTTCACCAGATAGTTTAGAACAAAGACTATTTAAACAACATATAATACCAGATAATATTGATGATGATGAATCATTTTTATCATCATCATCATCGTCGTCATCATCTTTAATCGATTCAATCAGTATTGATCAACAACAACGTCAATTAAATTCAACAAAAACTATTGTTCATAAATTAACATCTCATGGTCTTCTTAATACTTTATCATTTTCAAATGATGATAATGATGATGATATTGATGATGATCTTGATGAAATTCATATTGATCAAGATGAAGTTAATTTACTTTTTTCTGATCCAGATGATGGTGTTTTATGTCGATTATCTAATGAATTAAATGATATAGACGATGATAATGATGATGAAAATGAGGATTTTCGTCAACATATATATCCTTTACCTCATGTAACGTCACCAAATTTCGTTATTTCATCATCATCATCACCATCATCATCATCATCATCATCATTATCATTACAAGAGCAGCAACAAGTATATACATCTTATCATTTTCTTGATCCAATATCTGAAGCTGCTAGTGAAGAAGAACGTCGAGCAGCTATATCAATAATTCGTCAACAACAAAAACATAAACATAGTACATCATCATCATTATCAATAAGTGCTAATGAACATTGTGATGGTGATACAACAACTAATGATGATCTTTCAACATTGAGTGATATTGATGAACAAAATACATCAATGGATGAAAATTCTATTTCACAAACATATTCACTATATCGTGATCAACAACATATAAATAAAAAACGACGTCATAAAGAGATTTGTTCTATAAATTGGTCAACAATAAACGGAAGTAAGTTCGATTAATATCAAATTCATTGATCATTGGGATTAACTCGGTTAAAATAAAATTTAACATAATAGATCTATTCGTAAGTAAAGGTCATACATACGAACGTACATTTATTAATTATTGATTTAATAGATAAAATTATCGACATGAAATGTGATCAATAAGATTTGTTGATCGTTTATGTATATATACACATACACAAATAAGAAAGAATATTTCGTGAAATAAACACAATACACCAATAGTTATGTATAGTTCTTAAAATTTTTCATGGCTTCATAATATTATAATTCAATGATTTAAATAAACAAATTAGAGAATAACGATGAGCTTTTAAATATATACAGAAGCCTATTCGATTGATTTTATATTGAATATAAAATTAGTTAAATCCGGAAACAAAAAGACTTACATCTATATCTATATATATATATATATATTTACCCTGTTGTTAGTTGATAGAGTCTATGTTTATCTACGCAGTTGTGTAAAGCAGTCTAAATTTTCTAATGTGGGTATCTGTATCAGTTCTATAATTGATCATACTAGAAAATTCTACATCAGTTGACAACTGTTCTAAGCATAAAATAAAACAAAAATAGATTTTTGCTCTTCGTCATTGTATTATGACATCGTAGATTTTTTTCTTTGCTTTCTTCTGACAGATATTTCACAGATAGGAAAACGACTCATCCAATTAATTTATGTGCATGCCTGTATATTTATGTACACTTTGTTGATGACCTCTGTTTTTTTTTCTTGTATAGTTTCTACGTCGGAATGATCTCATAGGAAAAGAACGAAGAAATAATCACTACAGCATCTTACATTTCCGCTATGTTCTGTTTTTTTTTCTCTTCTCTTTAGTATATCCAACAATTTCTGATGGTACTCGTTGTTTATCTGTACAATTTGCGCAGCGGGCACATTTCTTTTTTGTATTTTTATGTATATGTTTTACGTAGGATGATGTCGAACGAGGAAAAAAAAATGCAGCAATAGAAAAAGATAGAGAAAAGCGAGGGCGAACAGCAGATAAATATCTGGGATAACACATATGTATAGTTCTCACTAGTATTGTCGTTAAAGAACGAAGCAGAAGATATTTGTATTATTTCTAGTAGCTTCCTTTATTAATAAACATTTTATTCAAAGTACGGGTGTAGGTGCAAATAAAAGAGAAAGACGAAAAAATAAAACAAGTAGTTAAGTGTGCTAGAATTGAGCACCTACTTCATCGAATCAAGTGAACAATGGCAGATGCAAATGAAGATTCGTGTATGTATTGATTGTTCAAAGAAGTTTTTTTTCTTTCTTTTGCGTACTTGACTTTATGTTTTTTTTGTTCATCGAAAACATAACAAATTATAAGATTTCTTTAAATTAGTATTTCTGTATTGACAAAAAGAAAAAAAAACAAGAAATTTTCCTATATTACTTCAATTAAATAGAATTTATCTTTACAGATCTTTTACTTGCGTATATCATCTGGATCTTGTTTTTTTTTCTCTTTCTATTGACAGCAATCGATACCAGTGGTGGCTCTGATGATACATTGGAACGTCTACGTAATATAACAAAAATGTTTGGTAGTAAAAAAAATGAAGATGATGAAGGACAAAAATTACAAAAAGTTGAAAAAGTAGCACCAAGTGACAAAATCAAAAATACATTTCTAAAGTAATTATTATTTGTTTTTTATTTTGCTTGATTAGTTAGATTAATGAGAAAAGGAAATCATCTGAATGATCGATTTTATAATAATGTCGTACACGTTTCGTGTATGTATTTGAGGTTACAGAGAGAAAAGAAGAAAGATAAAAAATAGATACCTAAAAAAAGAAAAAAAAATAACAAATGGGAGAAATTAGGTAAGCAATCATCCATTTCGCTGAATTACACAAGTAAAAAAAAGGAACGAGCATTTTATCGTTCCACATCACTAAATACTGACGAAGGAGAACAGCAGTAGATTTTCAACAAATCTAGCATTTTAAATGGATTCATCAATGAGAGTGTAAGTAGCTTTTTTAACTATTGACGAAACATTAATCTTAATACAACTTGCGATATACATATTTTTTTTTTACATTAAAATGTCAAATAGAGACAGATGACATATTTTCCTTTTTGTCTTTTTTGTTATTATAAGAAGCGAAAGAATACTTGAGTAGAAAATGCCAAAAACATCTCGACAAAAAGCAAGTGAAAGTGGAGGTGTGTATTGAAGAGAACGAAAGAGAAAACTTCAATAATAGTAATACTTTCAATTCATGATTATTGTTTTTTTTTCACATATGTTTTTGAAAAAGATTTAATGAGAAAAACAAGCAATATGAACAGATGTCTACTACTAATGATGACAGCTACAATGATTACTTATTTTATGATTACATATTATTTTCAAAATTCTCCCATAGTAGAAATACTAAATATAATTATTGTGAAATATACTGAATCTGATGAATACATATGGAAAATCTATACGAGTCTTGTCATCATGTTTGTTTTGATGACAAGTATTGTACTTTTCAAAATAATTATTAATACTATTTTATTTAATAAAAATAATCAAATCTCATTAAATAGGTTTGAAGATATTGGTTCTTCAAACGGTCTTCAAAATGAAGAAGAAGATGAAGATGAAGATGATACTCAACCGTCAGAATCTGATGGCATTGTTCGATCAACACGAAAAAAGAAACCAACAAAAGAACATGTATGAAAATAATATTATTTATATTTAATATTTTCTTTGAATATTATTATTATTATTGTTTAGGTTCCATACCATGAAATGGCAGAAGTTAAAGATAAATTTGAAAAAGGTTTAATTGATAGTGATAAACCACGTGGAGAAAAACGTTTAGATGTTCGTGTACAAAGTGGTTTAGCATCATCAAAAAAACAAGCATTTGAACAAGGTGAATTCGAACAAGAAGTTGAATCACATGTTAGTAAAGTACAAATCGATACAGATCTTGTTGCTGGTTTAGCATCATCAAAAAAACAAGCTTTTGAACAAGGTGAATTCGAACAAGAAATAAGACCACATGCTTCAAAAGTACAAATTGATACAGATCTTGTTGCTGGTTTAGCATCAGCAAAAAAACAAGCATATGAACAACATCAACTTGAGAATGATACAAATTTACCAAAAACAGTTATTATTGATCGTGATTCAATGGCTGGTGCTGCAACAGAAAAAAAAGCTATATTTGAAAAAGGTGAATTCGATCAAGATTATCATGAATTTGGTTCAAATCGTGTACAAGCTGATGCTGATCTTCTTGTTGGTGCAGCAACTGAAAGGAAAGCTAAATTTGAAAGTGGTCAATTATCTGATCGTCCAATAACACCAACACGTCTCGATGAAATGTCAACTATTGTTGAAACAGGTCATGCACAATCAAAACGTTCAGAATTATTATCAAAATTTGAAGCTGAACAACAAGTACAACGTTCAGGTGATCGACATATTGATATTGAATCAGATAGTGGATTAGCAATAGCACGACGTGAACAATTAGCATCATTAGCCAGTACTGAATTTAAACCAACAGAAAAACATATTGATGTAACAACTGGTTTAGCAAGTACAATTAAAGAACAGTATATGGCTGATACAAGTAAATCAGTAAAACCAACAGTTCAATCTATTTCTGTTGAAAGTGGTTTGGCTAAAAGTCGTGCTACAGCATTTGAAAATCCCGATGACACTACTACAGTAAATAATTATATTTAGATAAAAATTAAGAAAAATATTTAATTCTAATTTTTTTTAATAGATCAAACGAACAGTAGAAATTGATAATGAACTTCTTGAACGTGGTGTAGCTAAAGAACGTGTAGCTATGTTTAAAAATTTAGAAAGTGGTGCACAAACAACAACAGGTGCTAGTGGTGATTCAAAAATACGTGTTGATGTAAGTTTTATCTTTTTTACTTTTATAAATAATTTTTATTTTGACTTATCTAAATTGAGAAAATATGTGTTTTCTTTTTTCATAAAATATAAAAGGATTTTCGATGGCACGTAAATGTGTGCCAACCTTTAAATGGTTCGATTTTGAGAAGAAAAACTCAACCAATCGTAGGTTTTTGATTTTTGATTAGTGGGATTTTTTTGTTTCTTATTAATTTTTCAAACAAAAACAAAAAATTACTAACATAGATGGGATTGCTTGCAAAAACAAAAAAAAAGAAACATCTAGATAATAAGAATTAATTTGCGTGTATATACAGACACACACATATATATGACAATTTCCTCTCTTGTTTCTTTTTAGCGTGTCGAATTTTCTGACACGCTTGTCAACATGAGTGTAAGATTGAAGATAAAATCAACGGATACGGACAAAAGCGGTGTTTCCACTAGCTCCGGTGAGGTACACTGATTGTGTATATTTCCCAAATTCATATATTTATTTTATTTTTTTCATTTTATATATTTTTTATTCACATAATTCATTTTTTGAACATGTGTGAACACCCATTCATATGCGTGTTATTATCTTCAAATGTGTGCATTTGTTATGTATTTGTGTGTGTCTGGTATACTGCTAACAGTAGATCAATGCTTAATCTTTAATCATTTTTCTATTTTTATCTTATTTTCATATTATTTTTTTTATCTTCAAATGCACTTTTCTTTGTCCTCTTTCTCTCAATGCACTGCTGTAAAAATATTAACACTGATCTCAAATAAAAAAAAAAAACTAATTTCTTGCTTTTATTAATACACTAATATTATGTCATAATATTGTGCACAAAACGCATTAATTCTCAATATTTTTATGGGAGAAAACGTTTGTGTGCTTGTGTTTATATATATATATCTGTGCATAGTGGTACATAATAAATAGTGTCAGATAACAAAAACAATAACATAATTATTGGAATCTGTTTTATGAGTTTATATTAGTTTATTGTCTTTCTCTAATAACGAGTATTTGTTTGTCTGCCATGTAAATAGTATCTTTTATTGACAAGTTAAACATTCGAAGAGGTTTGCTTATTTGTTCATTGGGATAAATGATATGTATTTTACACATAAGTTGCCTTTTTTTTGTATTCAAATAAAAAGAGCAAAAATCATAGCGGAGAAAAAAAGCTATAGATATTATTCGTCCGTGCGACTCATATATATATATATACATATATGATAGACGGATTGTTTTATTGGTAAAGTCAACTTACAGAGCGATAGAGTGATTGATATGCGCTATACATATTGTATTCGATCATTGAACTAGATAGATAGAAGAAGAGAGCATAGTTGCATAAGAGAAAACGAAAAAACGTGAGTAACCTTCGATCGTCAGCAGGCGAATGCATGTGTCCATTCATATATCCATTCTCTATCCTTTTTTTCTTTTTCTTCTCTTTATCGAAGTAGAGCAAAAAACGATTGAGTGCAAAGAATTAGTTGTCCGTTCTCTGTCGTTTAAAAGGAAGAAATGCAATGACTGACTACCACTGAGAGGAGACATTTCATTGAGCACATACACACACACACGCATACATACATCTACATATCGGAAGAGAAAAAGAAGCACGGATGTCATTCAGAAGTCACAAAAGCAAATACATGAAAACTGTGAGTAGTCGATCGCTGTTATTCATTTAATAAAAAATATTTATCTCTATTGATTCCATTTTCTATGCTTTTACTAACATACATTTGGATTGATTGTGTTTTTCCTTTCTTTCTCATTCTCTTCTTTACTATCAAAACGTGTTGTTACTAAACAGTAGTATGGTGTGTTTGATTCACTTTCTTTCTCTTTCTCTCTCTGTCGGAATCTTTTTTTTTCTCTATTCTCTTTAATTTTATATGCCATTTTTCTATATATTTATATATATATATATATATAGGAGAACGGGAACGTTGTACGTGAAAGTGATAAACGTGAAGAAATCTATTTTGAAAAGGGTCAAACAAAACAACTTGTCGAACAGTGGAAAACAAAACAAACTTCACCAGAACGAGATACACCTGACGCTCAAGTTATACGGGACGCTGAAATACTTCAACAAGGTATGTAATCAGATAAAGTTATTATTATTATTTTATCTTTTGTATACGCCTACCAGAAGACAGAGAAAAAAACAATTTTCAACATATATTTTAAATCATAGGTAAAGCAAAGGATCTTGTTGAAATGTGGAAAACAATGGATAAAGAGAACACACCACCTCCTGAAAGACGTGGACCACGTGCAATTACACCACCACCTGACAACGAACGACGTTTACCGCCTCCTGAAGATGTAATATTAAATATTATTCAATAGTTGTTGTATTTTTTTTTACATGCAGGATGAAACAACTTTTCGGAAACCAGGCTATGCAGATGATAAAGCTAATATTGAATCAGGTCATGCCAAGGCTGTTCGAGAAAGGTATATTATTTAGTTTATTTTTGTGTATGTTTGCATCCTTATAGTCTTTTTTTTAAACTACAATTGCATGTCATTATATAGTGACGAAGAGTGTCATGGTGTCGATAGCCTTGTTTCTATTATTAATGACTTATGGAATAAGAATACTAATAATGATGAGTAGGTGGCTGCTCGTATCTCTATACTTGATTCCTTTGCTTAGCTTTATTTTTTTTCTTTTCTATTTGATATGTGACAGAATAATACTTAGGGTTATTCAAAAGTTCGGGCGTCATTATCTTATTTTCTTATAGAAAGCTTAAAAAAATTTTCTTTTTTTATGAACAGATAGAACGTCTTTCGTTCTATGTTTCTATGCCATTTGACCATTATTCAACTAATATCATAATAATAAAATTTTGATAAGAACTGTTTTTGTTGAAAGCTAGCTGGTGGTATATTAGATCATAACGGGTGTGGCATAAAAAATGGGGCACTTTTGTATTTCATTTTATCATCACTTAATACGTTGTATTAAAAAGCAAAATATACCACAAGATGCAGCGTGAAAAGCTCTACAAATTGCACAAGATCATTTATTTTATAGTTGCATTTTTTGTTTTCAAAATGGACAAAACTCTGAGCGTGCAAGTTTCGACGCTGCGCAAAAGAAATTTTTTTTTTGATAAAAGATGACTTCGTTTTTTCCTATCTCATCTTTTCATAATTGTTCTTTGGTAGTTATAGAGCTTTTCACGCTGCATCTTATAGTGTATTTTGTTTTTTTAATAAAACATATTAGGTAATAAAAAGATGAGATAAGAAAAAACAAAGTCGTTTTTTTACCAAACAAAAAAATTTCGTTTGCGGAGCGTCGTAATTTGCACGCTCAGAGTTTTGTCCATTTTGAAAACAAAAAATGCAACTATAAAATAAGTGATCTTATGTAAATTGTAGAGCTTTTCACGCTGCATCTTGTGGTATATTTTGTTTTTTTTTAATACAACGTATTAAGTGATAATAAAATGAAATGCAAAAGTGCCCGACACATTAAGATTTAATGCCACGAGCTAGTTTTCAATAAAAACAGTTCTTATCGAAATTTTATTATTATGATATTAGTTGAATAATGATCAAATAGCATAGAAACATAGAATGAAAGACGTTCTATCTGCTCATAAAAAAAGAAAATTTTTTCAAGCTTTCTATAAGAAAAAAAAGATAATGACGACAGAACTTTTGGATTGTCCTAAGTAATAATAATAAAGAAAAATAATTATTATTATATTTTATTTTTTGAAGACTTATGCAAAGTGCTGAACAAAATAATACAGCTAACACAAGAAAAACATTAAAACAAATCACACCACCACCAGAAGGTGTTCAAAGGTAGGAAAATTTTCAATAAATAAAAATAGAATTTCTATTGGAATGCTTATTAGGAGATCAGTATCACCAACGGATACAGGAAATAGTTCAAGTGGTCTAATAGAACAATATAATGATAATGAAGAATTTGTACCTACTAAAGGTCAAGCTCAATCATTAAAAAATCGCTTTACTGAATTTGAAAAAGATGCACTTAAAGTTGAAACAGCTTCATCTAAAATAAAATATACACCAAAACGATTTGTTGTATGTTTTTATTTTTCTTTCAAATATGAAAAATAATTTTAAAAAAAACCAAAAATCTTTTAGGATACACCTGCACCTAAACAGACCAATAATGAATCAGCTGTTGATCCAAATAAATGTTCTGTATGCAATAAAACAGTTTATGCAATGGAAAAAGTATTGAAATATTTTTTTCTTGTTAATTATTTGAATGCATTTTTTTTTGCTTCTTAAGATTGAAGCAGACAAAAAAATTTATCATAAATCATGTTTTAAATGTATGCATTGCAAATCGATATTAAAGTGAGTATTGAAATAGAACAATCTACATTTTTCTATATTGTTTTAGAGGAAAATCATAATAATAATACTAATAATCATATTCAATTTTTCAACAATCAATCGTAGGCGGGTGTTTTTTTCTTTGTATCCCTTCCCTCCCTCTACCGTGTGATTACAGAGCATGTCATTTTGTTTTCGAATGCTTTGAATAGTTTCTTTTTTTTTTGTTGAAAAGTATTTGTAATCAATGATGGTTTTGTTTTTGTTTTTAGACTTGGAAATTATACGGCTAATGATGGACAAATTTATTGTAAACCCCATTTTCTTCAATTATTTGCTATAAAAGGAAATTATTCAGCTGGTTTCGGTCTCAATGATCACAAGGCACGATGGTTATCAAATTCTTCTTCATCTTCTTCTCCTAGTAGTATATCAAATACACACGAGTCAACATTGTCCAACGAAAGTTAAATTCAGTTTTCTTTTCTTTTTGCTGGTTGTTTGTGATTTCTTTTTCTTTAAGTCTTTTTTTGTCCTTGCTTATTTATTCTTAATAATTATCAATAATAACAGCTGAGCAGCAACACGTTTGTGTCACTTGTGATCTTCTTTCTTTTTTTGTTGTATAAAATGATTTCGTCTTTTTTCTCTGTTTAAATGATTATAAAATTATATACATTATTCTTAATCTCGTTTGCGCTATAGTCGCTTTTTTCTTTTCTGTTATTTGTCATTATGCAATATAGAAAAAAAAATTAATTAAAACAAGAAAGAGTGTTCTTTTTATTTATATTTTGTTTGCTTTATGTGTTATATTGTGCTTATACGAAAAAGAAAAAAAAAGACATTTTTGCTTCATTTTAGTGCTTTCTTTGGATATATAACGGAACAACAAAAGCGTAGTTGCTCAATCAAAGAAATAATACAAATAATTTTGAATATGTATTATCCGTATTTTCTATAGATGCTGCACACTTTCTAATACACGCGACGGATCACAGTTAAATAACTTATCGATTATCATATAAATGGAGTCATATGAAACATAGTAAATGATTTAAAGAAAATTCCACATGAAAAAGTAACAGCTGCATACTTGCAATCAGTAGTATTTGTTTTCGACCGAAATAGGCTGACTGGTTGAAATTCTTGAGTTAATCAGCGACAAACTATTGCGTTTAATCTACCAATAAACCAATCAAGAAATGGTCTATGACTTCATTCCTACGCAGACACACAATGTAAAACTCATATAACTCTTAGTTTCTAATAGTAACAACTCGTATTTTAGTCTGTCACGTTTCATATGTGTTAACATTAAGAACGAACGAAGGTTTCTTTCACAACGTTTCATCTAGTAACTCGCAGCAATTAATATTGAATAACATCTATGCAATACTTTGGTTGGCTTCTATTTTGGATAATGATACAATTTTTTTTGCAATTCATAAGTTTGATCTATTCTTACTTGAAATAAATATTTAAAACAGCTGAAAGACATTTCAATTAGTAAAAATATACTTTTGCCGACAGAACGATAAGGTAAATTGAAACGTACGGATTTTATTTCTACATAGTTTCGCCATTATATGAGGCTAGTAGTTGGGAGTTTTTGACAATAGAACGGAATTGTTTCTGATATTTTGTAATGAAAACATGCAATGAAAACTACAGGTTATCGAAATTTTATGAGCTTCGATCAAAATTAGCCCTGTAAAGTGAGCTCAAAATTTCGAGGTCCAAAGTTTTTAGCACAGGCCGAGATCAATTTCTAATATCTAGTTAACTTTTGTCAGTCAAGTGAATTCATTGAGCATAATCTAACACTCTTATTCTACGATGAGAAAGTGTTATCTTAACCATAGAAATCATTAAAAACAAGCACAATAAGTCAGCTTTAGTGCCCCAAACAATCGAGAAAGAGGCTAGTGAAAATCAGTCGATTCTAAGGATGAACAGACATATTGAAGGAAATAGTATTCAATATATTTATTTATTTTGAAAACGCAATACGTTTTCGATGAATGGTATCGTAAAAAAAGTTTGTTTTCAAATGAAATTTATTCTGAGGATAAAGCTCATTTTGTCCACGAGCATGAGTAAACGTTACGAAATGTCATGTTCTTAGATTACAAACACTTGTGCATCTCCCAACGATAAAAGTAAACAACCTGAGATTTTTATCATACATAGACAAAATTTAGAGTTACTACTATAGCTACCATTGCGTAGAGCTTAGAGTATTCTATTGATCTCCTCATAGAAAATGAAAAACATTGACTTTTCATGTAATGTTCATTATTAATGTTTGAAAGACGTGAACATGGTTATCTCAAATTTTATAGTGACTCATTCGTTTTAAATATGTAAAAGATAGCCTGGAGGCTCCTCTAGGAAATGGCGAAAGGCTGAACTCTCTAGTTATTATGATTCACGAATATTACACATTTCCCTAGAGTCTATACTAGTGCTTGTTCTTAATAGGATAGACTGCCAATATGTGTAGTAAAGCTAGTTGTTGATCATTGTTTACATTGTATTATTAGAGAGTACCATCAATTGATATAAACAAACTTTTGATTCTTATGTATATTGTATTTATTTAGTTTACATCGTCTTTGTTATATGTCATGGGTATTCTCAGAAGCCTTTCGACGTATTGAAATCATCTTTTTAAATACTACACTTAGCCACTACATATGCTTATAAGTTCACCATTGTGATTATTGTAAGTGTTGCTTCTTTAGATAGAACTCTTGGACGACCAAACTGATGATAAGAAAACAAATCAATAAGTCTTATAACAGTAATACACCATAGCAAAGATGATGTAAATTAAACGAATACAATATATAAGAATCAAAAGTTTGTTTTGTATAGATTGATAATACTCTCTAATATGTTGACGATAGAATCACACTTTATCTTTCTTTTTTTGATTTTAATCACATATTTTAAAACCATTCTCTTTCTGTATAGTGTAGCTCGTCACTTTCAATTATAAACATCATTCGAGGTCAAAAAAAAACATTTCTATAATGCAAACAATGATCAACAACGAACTTTACTATACATATTGGCAGTCCATTCTATAGAGAAAAAGCACTAGCATCGACTTCAGAAAAATGTGTGATATCTTAGTAATGAGTCACTACAAAATTTAAGATAACCATGTTCACCTCTTTCAAAGATCAATAATGAACATCATGTGAAAAGTCGATGTTTTTCGTCTTCTATTAGGAGATCGATAGAGTACTTCAAGCTCAATACAATGATGCAAAAATCGTAGACTTATATCTCTTTTTATTCTCGAATTATTCAAAAAATAGTCATACAGACGGATTTTCGGATGAAATATAGATGGATGATATTAGGATGTTTTTCAGTAATAAGTTTCAACAGTTCCCGCAGAACTGTTCTAATAAGGGGTGTGGGTGTGAGTTCCTATGGGTCTTATCTACATCACCAAACACATCCACACCCACACCGCACCCTATTTAATTCAAAATTACTATAATTACTCTATTATCAACAGAAAATTAGTCAATTTGATTAAAACAGAGTGGAGATATTCAAATTATTTTGCCGTAGTTCGTCGATCGGTCACATCGCGCTTAATGTTTTAAGAAGTAAGAAACAGAAACGTAAATCGGTATTTATTATCTTCACAGATCAACAGATGAATGAAGAGTCAATTAAACATAGAAGAACGAAAAAAAAGAAACAACAAAAAATGAACAATAGTTTTACAACATTGTCATCTATTCACTTTTATCATATTACCATCATCACCTTCTTTTGCAATGGCTACAGGTTCGCCTAGTGATAACCAACCAAAAAATTGTTGTGTTCATTCAATTATCGCATTGCCATCATTGCTTTCTTCTTGGTTCGGACTGTGAAGCCAGTTTCAAAACACTTCTTCTTTTATACAATCTTCATCATGGAATACGTCAAATAATAAACGTGCCATTTCTACAAAGAGAGGAAAATGGCATTTTTCGCTTATTTTAGACGTGGCTGACATGTTTTTTTTTTGGGCACGAATCACTAATTTCCGTGTCCAGAAGTCATTTTTCTCTTTTGACGTCGTAGGAAAAATGAAAAGGACTTTTAAGCGGCACACAGATATCAACATAAATAGACATGTTCTCAATTGAACTACTATTATAATAACTCACTTGGTGTATGTTCTAATTTGACTATAAAATTTGGTATGGGATGAAGAGTTTGAATTTCTTTTTCTTTATCACGATGAATAATTGAATTCAAAATATGAGTTCCTTGTCTCACAGTAGACTCATCAATCATCGGCTTTGTTAAATCATGAGCAACGAGACACGATTCCAAATCTGATAATACGATATTTGGCATGTAATATTTATCCGATGGATTCATTTTCTAAAACAAACGAAGACATCTTGTAGAACTTAGAGTCGATGTAGTGAAATTTGGAACAGAGCTGCAACAGATCTAGTTCGGCCGGTAAGACGGCCGATTGGAATCACACCTCAAGCAGGTGAAAATCGATGAAAAATCCGTGGAAACTGGCGAAAAACCAGCGACATTTTTTGAGAATCGAGTTTTAGAAAAAAATTTTCTCAAAAATAAAATGGTTTGCGAGCATATTCAAGAGACATCCAACGTAACGAGTCTATCAGGTCGAACCTTTAAACAAATGACAAAAATAATATTTGTCTCGAGCATATCTTTATTTATTCTGACCAAGAAAGGCAAGAAATCTTGATTTTTATAGAAAAAAATTGGATCGAAAAAGGAGATTTTTCAAAAGTTTCAACCGGTGAGATACCGATCTCAACCGACCCCGTTGACTTTTTAAACCGGCTCTGGTCCGGCCAGTCCAATACCGGTATATCGCACCGGTTCCAGTTGTGATTTGGAGTTAGAACACAACACACTTACCTCTTGAACATACTGATTGATTTCTTGTTCTTGTGTGTTCGAATCGACCTGTTGTTTATTGATCGAACGAAATAACTTGACCAAGTCAGCATCTGAACGAGTCGGATTTCTTGTGGAAGGACATGGTGATTGTGATACAGCAACGACTATATAGAAGAAAGATGCGAAAGACGGTGTTGGTGGTTGTGGTATTTCATTGTCATCTGTTGTTGTTGGATTTAATAACCAATCATAAGCGGATAAGAATTGTTGATCAATCACGTCAGGTTTCAACAAATTGTCAAATGTTAAATTGGATAATTTCCATTGTGAAATAAATTCCAGTTTTGACTAAGAATAGAAAGAAAATAGAACACATTCTGAACTTTATACCAGACAAAGATACTGGATAAAAAAAACTGGCATCAGAAAATGAAAAGTGCCTACTTCTCACCTGTCTCTCAAGCAACAAACTAAGTCTGTTATTTGTTCACAAAGTGGGTGTGAGTGTGAGTGTTGAAGCGGATTAAAAAAAGATACACATCTACACCCACACCCTTGCTCATCAATATTTACTTCATCTGAATCTTGATATATTTGTTCATCAACATTCAGTTCATCTAAATCATCGGACGATTCTTCATTAGCATACGAATCAAGTGTCTTATCAGATGAATGTTCATTTTGCTTTTCAATAATAGAAGCAGGCGATGATGTCATTTTTAAATTATCATCGACTGGTGTATTTTCACTATGTAAAGATCTAATAAATAAATAAAAATGTGTTGTATCAAGAAGAATTCGTGGAATATTTAATCAATGATGTCGTCTATACTTTTTAAATTTAGACATCTTCGATGCTATTGTTGATCACATACTGCAAGTGACGCTAAGACATTATTGTCCATCAGATTATTTCTTTCACAACACCATCTGAAAATGAAATAGAGAAGAAAAGATGAAATATTTAGGAAAAAAACCAAATGCAGTAATGAAATACGACTGTCAACACATCTTAAGCGTTCATAGCTAAGAGTGTTGTGGGATATTTTCTGAATTCACCAAGAAAATATACTATCGGAATAACTAACTTTTGTGTATATCTACCAATCAAATGATATGTAATTACTATCTGAATCCTTAAGTGATAAAATAGGATAATGAACGAAGTGAAGAAAATAACGTACATTGATACGTATAAATGCTTTTCTTTCCTTCGTCGCTATCTCTCTTTTATCAGACCGATGGAGATTGTATAAGTAAAATATATTCTTTCTTTCTCTATAGCAAGGATCTCTCTCTTGGGTTCTTCTGGTAATATAAACAAGAAGTTTGGAACGAACGCACGAAAAATAACTTTTGTTCGTTCTGTATGTTGTCTATTATTTAAAAGTCACTTAATTTTTTTTGCATACGTTTAGGAAACAGAAACCTGTATCATGAATGACCACGTAGAATATTCTTATACAATCATTTTTCAATGAAAATATAAAACAGAAGGTTACATTTCAGAAGACGTTCGTATACAACTATATACAGTGAGAAACGATCGTAAACGACAATCATACAGCTCCGTCTACGGAGTTCGTGTACGATCTGCGTTTATGTCCATAAGCGATCGTTTACGACGGTTGGTGTTGAACTTGGGATCATGAGAAGTTATCTAATGCAATTAAGTTGAGAAGAACAAATAAGATTACTAATACAACTATGGATTTACAATTGTAAGTACGTAGAATGAATGGTACGGAATATTCGGTAATTTTCCTCACCATGCTGTTTTTGTCTTTGCACAGGAATATATGGCTAAAATACTTGACTATGAAAAAAAGATTTTTTAAAAGCTGCTATTTGGTATTATTCTCTATCATTATCATCATTAATTGAAAAGCAGAAATGTTTAATTGAATTGACTAATGCTAGTAAATGTACAATTCTATCACCGTTGTGTGTTTTTCGTTCAAAATTGATCTCGGATTTATTCAGGAATGAGAATGCAAAACAATCATCGGCTTATTTTATGTTGAACTATTTGTACGTACATTATGAGACCATCTTTATGTCCATTTGTATCTTTTGGTTTTAACATGTCGGTAACCTCTTTGTTTCTTGTAGTAAACTTCAAGCATCTATTAGATAGTGATCAAAAATTGGCACAAACAAAAACTGATATGTTCTAGGAGACAAGTTATACAGATGGATTTACTCTTCCTTACAATCTTCAAATTGAACAAAATCTTAAATTTCCGTAAACAACGAAAGATCTAATAACTTACATTGAATATAGAAAACGTTACAAGGAGTATTATCACTTACAATTCAAAACGATTAGGTGCTCATATCCGTTTGACATATTTTGAATAAAATCCTTCTTCTATAAGATTTTCGCTGCAATAACTAGTTTTGTCTTGCGAAGAAAAAGCACACTGCCATGTAGATTTTTCTTCTAGGTGATCACTTGTTACAACACAATATCATAATATCTTATGTGCAAAGGTAACAAATATGGAAATCACTCTCGAAGACATGAGCCGATGGTTACAGGTTTCTATCAGTCAGGTTAGTCCTATTCAAGTCGTAACTCAGAGCATTTGTGTTTCTTATATCATTTTAAATTGATTTGCTTTTAGCTCGCGACAGGTGCCCAAAGAATGATTGATAGGGGAATTCTAAATGCATATATTGAACCCAACACATTATATTATTCAAGTAAGTTGGGATTTATTCCTTTGAAATCATAGGAAACTATAAACTGTTCATTTCCTTCTTCACTGTTTCACATCAAACTAAAGAAACGTAGAATTGTATGAGACGAAGAACCACGTGATATAGTGTGCGGAAAGTCTAGATCGACGTTGTACATAGGTTTCTGAATAAAATTAGTGGTTTGTTGAAGTATACTGTTGAAGAGATGTGATTATTTCTATTGTTTCTAGAAGATGATTCTGGTTTCATTTTGGCTGAAGCAATTCATGTTAAAATGTTCGAGTCTTCACATACATGCCGATCGTCAAGTTCAACATCAAATTCTCTCGAATCAAGTGATAGAGCAAGACATCGTTTTCGATGGAAAGTTATCGAATTATCAAAACAAATCATTACAATGGATATGTTAAAATGTGAAATATCTCAAAACAAAAACCCAGCAAAACATCTTGTCGCTTGACATATATTTAAAAAATCATTTGGAAGTACAAGATTGTGGCAATTATTAAATTTGTCTGATATAAATGATCCAGACAATGGTATTCTCATGTACGTTTCTATTGAACACCATTTTGATCACGGCAACATATGTTTAATGAAAAATCACTTGAATGATGATCATTGTACTGTGAAAATTTTACGGAAAGATTTAGAATCCATATTAATTATTGAGAAAGGTGAGAGAATACTGAGTTCAGGTCAGTCAGGATGTAGGTGCGCATGTGGATGTATGTGAGTGTAGGGACGGACTAAGAAAAGACACACACCTACACGCCCACACTCATACCCACATATTCAAAACTAATGAGTCACTATAAAACTTAAGATAATCATGTTCATCTCTTTCAAAGATCAATCATGAACATCATGTGATAAATCGATGTTGTTCATCTTGTACTAAGAGATCAATAGAATACTCCGAGCTCTACGCAATGGTGCAAAAATCGAAGATTTATATTCTTTTTTGTTCTCGAGTTAATCAAAAAAACATCACACATGCAGACTTTTTGGGTGAACTAAAGTCAATGTTTCATTCATGCCTCTTCGTACAGTAATCAGGTTATTTACAAATACCGATGGTTACAGATTTTGAAATACGCTAATTTGTGAATGTTTTAGAAGCTGAGAATTTAGTATTTCAGCGCAAAATGAAGTGACATATGAAGAAACGTTCTATATCATAATTGTTTAATTTGCAAAAAGCTTTCAAAGTGTCAAGTCTTTCTTAACAGAGGCAACTAGCATGAATAAGAAATCTAAAAATACTGTTAGTTGTGAAATTTCATCAAAAAGACATATGGTCAGTGAAATCATTACCTTAGTTCGTAGACATCTGATATTTGTATGAAGATCATGTGCTGAACGAGTATCTTATATTCAATCAATGAATATCTTATTTGAAGAAATTCTTCTACTGATTCATAAGTTTTTAAATATGTATTCTATTCCCATCTGTTATGTAAAGTTTTGAGTTAACCATTCAAAGAAAGATTTCACATGTGTAAAACATTCAAAACTCCTAAGGAACAGAAACGCTTCCATTTCATACATTATCCACTGTGCTGTTTTCAATAGTAGGCTCCGTTTTCTGTACTATTGAGTGTGAGAACGCTTTCTGTGTGTGACTAATTGATGAATGGTGATGATGTGACCAAATCTTTGACTCATATTATGCTGTGAGAAAGGAAGAGTATAGAAAGTAACATGATGCATGTTTGTCAAGAAGTGTAAATACAAAGAAAGATTTAAATGAGTCACATAATTATTACAACTTTGCTTGATTGAAGACAAACAATCATGATGATATTAAATTTGAAAGTGTTTAATAGGTAGTATAAGAAGATTATATTGATGAAGTGATATCTTATGTTCAATTTTCAAAACAATTAGTCTTGGATTTAGACGGAAGAGGTATTAGCGCCGATCGCCCCTCCGTTTAAACGTATGTTTCAATTTTTCTTAGCAGAAAATTCCCCAAAAACGAGCCGATAGTACTTTTGATGAACTAAAAAACACATTGTGTCATCATGATCATCTTCGTTTACTAAAACTATAGATCTGCCACTGAAACAAATGAATTTTATATGATAACGACACAATTTAGAAAAGCTCTACACGATACTTTGTAAGACATAAAATTTGGTTTTATTAGTGGGATAACTTAGTTTGCATTCGAATACGTTATTTGGTTTAACTAGAAATTGATATGTACACAACATTGATTATGAAATATTGATTGTTATGATGAAGATCACAGAAAAAGATTAGACTATTAAGATGGCTTAAAAATTTTGTTCCTTAAAATCATACATATGACTTGTTGCAAGTCATTGAACAACGAACAAACAATAGAAGTCCACCGTTTTGAATAAACAAAGATTATCTAACACCTGGATTATAAACGAAAACGTCGAGATTTATGTTCAACTGATTGTTCTTCGAGCCATTTTTGATAAACTAGTGCACGTCGTTCAAGATCGGAATCGAATGGCGGTAAACCTTTATATTTAACAAATACAAGTTCATATGGATCATGTGTGATGCCATCAAAAGAATGATCAACAAATATCGGACTAACTCGATTATTACAACCCCAGGTTTCTTTTTTACGAAAATCCCAACCTTGATATTTTGTTTGTAATGATGCTATTTGATAATTAGCATGAAGAATAAGTTGGCTTGCACCTATTTCACCATTAAAAACAGCATCACCATAATCTTTTTTACAATTCAATACTCCATTTTTTTTATCAGTTAATATAGACAAACCGACTTGATCAGTGGCTAGCAAATAACTTTGCACGTGTGGTTTATGCTCACAATTAATTGTTGAACCAACAAGTTTTATTTCATCATTTAAACGTTTAGTAAATACGGTAAACCACCACATGAGTTCATCATCAAAGTAAGTAGCAAAAAATGGTCCACGTACAGATGCATTCATCAAGATAAAATACTTATATAAACTTATATTTATTATATTTTGTGAAAGAAACCATCCAACTGTACCAAAATCATAACATTCATTTTCATGTTGAATATAATGTGCATTAGATGGAAGTTTAGGTAAACCTGATTCATTCACTGGTTTTTTATTAACTTGTTGTAAAATAAAATAATAATCAGCTGGTTGTGATGGATGAACACCATAACGAATAAAAAACTGAAGATTACCAAGTGATTGTACATCTGTATTAGCCCAAACATAGATAACTAAAACTCGTCCAGTATAAGTTGTTTTTAGTGAAGGAGACAACTGTTTTATTTGTGTTAAATTGTTGATGGATGATGATTTGAAAAAGTATGAATACATAATACACAAATATGGAAATATTAATAAAACTAAATAAGTTGATCGATGACGTCGTGACAAGTCCATTTCTGAAAGAATTATAGAGTCGAAGGAAAATTTTGTTTAAATGAAGTCAATTTAAAAATTTGATTTTCAATACAGAAATAAAAGCAACAGGGTGAATTATTATGATTCTAAAATCGTTTATTATGAGACATTGGTATTCTTTCCTATTTGTGGTCTTCTTGTAACATTTTTGTTCTTCCTCTGTATATTATTTATTGAATTTATATAATATGAAACTAACCCATGGAAAAATATTCCCGGGAAAGAAACGAGAAAGAACGCGTTCTTATCGATAAGCAACGCGTTTCTTAAGATGACAAATGCGTTAGTCAAGAACAAGTTTCATATTGGAAAAATGCTCTTTCAAGAGACAAGTTGCAACGCGTTGAAAAATAGTTTGTTCGTGTGATTGAAAAACGTTCATCTTGAGAACGTGTCAAAACATTTAAAGAAGAACGTGTTTCTTCTGTTTAGTAAAAACGATTTCATACTCCAATCCAATTAATTTCTGAATGTGAATCATAATAAATACAATAGAAACATAGCATGAATCGAGAAGCTTACGTGTTCAGATATGAAGACGTGTTTTGTTGTTAGACCATAATAAAAGACGATTCCTCACTGCTTAAAACAATTATCTTCCAAAACGAGTTTGTATGATTATTCGTTTTGAAACTGGCATGTGCTTTAAAAGAAAATGTCGAAACTAACTTTTAAGTAGAAGTTTTTGGGCTCTCTCATTTATACAGATCAGAACCCCTTGTATTCTGTCTCGTTGAAGACCTCAACATTAGATATTAAAGACGATGGGCCGTATTAGTAATAAAGCTTAGACTGCTTAAGAATATTCTTAGAATTTTCAGAATCCTTTGATAAGATTAAACGACTGAAATTTGTTTAAGAATGCTGTAAAGTGTTTCTTATTTTTATCCACAGAAAAATTTAGATGCAAATTCAAAATGTAAACGATGATTGGTGGTGATGCATGAATCTACGAGAATAGTTATTTGATCAACACAATATAT